TTTCTTCGATTTATGTAAACAAATTCTAGAGTTTGAAGGAAGACAAGCCAAATAATAAATAAATAAATTAATTAAAGTAATCAAATAATAAGGTCTTGGGGCGTGAATATTAAAGAATCAAATCACATGGGAGGGAGCCGTAAAGTGTTTTATATTCTGAATTAATTGCCTTTAATTATCACATTGCAGCTTTTCTATTTCATGCTTGTTCAATTATATTTCTTTGGGGCAAAAGAACAAAAGGAAAAATAAATCAAAGAAAATTACAAAATTAGCGGTCTATCTATCAGTTTATATTTTCTATGAACATCTATCTTTATTATATTTTATATTGAGAAAATAACACTATATAGCTGCTCTTAGAATAATGATTATATATATATATATTATATGTTATATATAAAAATTATACAATTTTTACGCGTGCTAGAAATGATATACCTTTTTATATTGTTTGATAGTGGAAGATTAATTTTTTATTTTTTAAGTAATGCCAAGTAATATGATTTGTGAACGTTGCTAAACTATTTACATACTAGTATATTTCGTAATATGGCAGCTTACATATGTTTTTCTGACCCGTTTAACATTTTCTGGTATTTTTATTTGTGATATATAAGCAGAATTGGTTATTCTCTATTATAAAATTAATTTTATTATTTTGATGCATTAAACTCGAAATTGGATAATTATCCTCAAGATTATCTCCCTAGACTAGTGGTCCCTTGCTCCCTCTAAGACTGACAACTCAAAAGAATTATATTAGTTTTAAATATTGTCTCATTTTTTTTTAATTAGTCCTCTATTCACTTGACACGCCTTTAATATTTATTCAATGTTTATTTACTAAATTATTTTTGTTAGAAGTTATTAAAGTTAAAACTCTAATCATTTGAAAAGTGTAAGTCAATAGTGGCGGAGGTAGAGTGTTGGGATCGGGTTCGACCGAACCTAGTAACTTTGATTCGAACCCTGTGTTTGTCTTACAAAATCTTTTAAATATGTATAAATGATTAATTTAGAACCCAGTAACTTTTAACGATTAGAATCCCGAACTCATAAACTCGAAATTCTGGCTCCGCCTCTGTAAGTCAATAATACTAAAGGTAATATTGAAAGAAAATAACAAATCTCTTTTGATTTATTAAAATGAACTAAGAAAAGGAAAATTATCTTAATATAAGAATCTAGTAAAAGGGAACAAAAGTATTTGTCTTTACAATATTTTGGACTTTCTTCCTTTTAAAGATAACCTGTTTTTAAATTTCTTAATATTAATTAGTTTTGTTGTTGGGACTAATGAATACCCGGAGTACTCATTTTTGTTTAAAACATTAATAGTGTAGATGACCTACTGCTTTGCCAAGACATGTCTTGGAACTCTAAATTATTTTTACAAAATCTTTAATTACCTTTCAAATTTTATTGCGTTTTAATATTTAAACCCATATTTATCTGTCACATCAAAGCTTGATTAATAGCCTGGTCAAGTTTCTCCAAAGCCAAAAATATTTTTTGTCAAAGTTAAAGTGTTTGACCAAGTTTTTAAAAGAAAAAAAAATAATTTTGAGCAGAAGCAGACGCAGTTTTGGAGAAGCAAAAAAAAGTAGTTTCTCTCCAAAAACACATTTTTGAAAAGTACTTTGAAGAAATAACGTAGAAACAGTTTTTAAAAGTTTGGACAAACATAAATTATTATTCAGAAGTATTTTTTTAATTAATTAGCCAAATATAAACTGCTTCTCACCAAAAGTACTTTTGAGAAAAAATATTTCTCAAAATAAGTTGATTTTTTAAGTTTGGCCAAACGGGCTATAAATAATGAAAAATTAATTTTTGGTAATCTAGATATTTTCCACCATGCTTATCAGTTATCACTAGGGAATCTGCTTCTTTCCTTATTACTTTTCCTTTTACTCTGTATAATTCCTATTTTCTCTTTTGTTTTGTTTTTTCCGTTTTTTTTTTATTTGCCGAAATAAACTTTCTTTTCACTTGTTTAAGAAAAGTAAAATTAAAGATTTCCATAAAAGGGTGCGTAGATAAAATATGAGGGACCAAATGTTGCTCATCATTTTAAAGCAACCTAAATGAAGAAGTAGGTGAGACAACGGCATTCAAATTTACTTTTAACATGTTTAAATTTAACCTAAACTAAAATAAATATGAATTTAACTTATATCTAATATGGTACAGTATATATCGTAATTTATTGTACCAAGTAATTTGCCTTGTTGATAGATTAGAAACGACTTTCATAATATGTTTGATCATCCGTTAGAAATCATTTTAGAAAATTCAAGTAATTCTAGTAGCAGTTTGGGCTATTAATTGTGGAGTCTTGGCTAATGATACAACTTCCTAATTACTAATGATTTTATCTTAATTGTACTCTTCCAAGATAATTAGGAATAATGTCTAATAACCCACAAATAATACAAAAGTTACAAAAAATGAGTTCACATATTCATACATTCTTAGAAGTCCAAAGTGAATTTACAAAAAAGACATTAAGGCTGCGATTTTAGGTACGGTAAAAATTAACTCGCATAGAGTGTTTAAATTAAATTGTACCTATTTACTATGGTTAAGTAATTTTATAAGGTGAAAACTTGTATTGCTTAATTATGATTAAGTGAAATGAGTTCATTTACAGAGATATAGCATTGTATCTTTTGCTATGAACACTGTATGCAAATGAGTTGTTACCGATTGGAATCCCGATCTTTGAATTTGAACTTTGGTGCCTTTTAAGCCTGAATTGGTCTTCTTTTACATGCAATCTAATTCAATCAAAATCTAATTTATAGAGAAGTTTTATTTTGTGTCTCGTGCAATTGATACTAGTTGTATGAGACTCCTTTTTGTCTCACAAATTTGTGGACCTCAATCTTACACTTCTGGGTCTACAGAAATCTAGGTCCACAAAATTATGAGACAAAAATGAGCTTCATACGACTAGTGTCAGTTGTATGAGACACAAAATAAAATTTTGCTAATTTATATGACTGCACGCAATTAACAAGAACCACATAAACGTACATTAATAAAGTTATTACAACAATACTGTTTACCTCGAAAATACGAGTAACAATTAAATTTGATTTGTGGTTTTAAAGATATATGATTTAGTTCAATACTGATGATAGGCTATAATTGTGTATTTTAGTCGTTTATTACACTCTAATTTACTGCACTTTAATTGAGTTTGAGCTTTAACCGCTAGCATTTTGCACTAAATATGTGTTTTATGCCTTGTAGGAGTGATTCCGATCTATGTAGGCATTATGGAATAAACTCAAGTGATTTGGAGCTTTGAAGTATGAGTAAAAGCCCAAGGAATTAAGCTGGGATCGTGTTCGGGGATCAACGGATGATAGTTAAGAACGAAACGAAGAATGGAGCGGGCATATGGCGCATTGTCTAGTAAAATGCACATAACTTTTCGCTCAGAACTCTGTTTGGGCTCCACAATATATCGTTGGAAAGATATTTGAAAGGGATACAACTTTCATGTTTTGCATTTCCTCAAATTCTCAATATCGCGCTGCATGAGGTGCCGCAGCGTGCGGCGCAGCAGTGTAAAAACTGTCTGACAAGAAAAATGCAAGGTTGTTGATAATCTCCACTTGCGGCGCGCCTGTACAAATTTTACAGAGCCGGAGTCCTATTTCGCTCAGGAAAGGGTGTTTCGTCTGGGCCCGACCCTACTTGGTATAAATACATATAAAAATGCTATTTTGAGGACTTTGGACGGAGCTTAGACCTAGGGACACCACTTTTGAGAGAGGATACACACAAGAACCATCGGGGAGCATCTCATATTTCTTCATCTTCACTTAGTATTTTCAATTATCCAAACTTATGAAATTGTTTGCTAATATCATGAGTGGCTAAAAATCTATTGTTATGGCATTATGATTTACCCATGAATATTGTTGTTTGATATTAGCTTGACCTTGATTATAATTCACCAATATATGGTTGTTTCTTCAATTCTGTGTTTAATTGCTTAATTATCTATCCAGCAGTTAGGTTCTATTTACTATCTATGTTATACTTGGGAAAGTCGTGTTTAGATTAGAGAAGAATTGAAGAGAGTATGATCTTAACCCTTAGGGGGCGGATTTGTGGTTAGGATAGGAATATACTTAATCACCGTGCTTAATTAAATGTCGTAGTCTTAATGCGTTCTTGATAGATTGATTTCAATAGGAATATAGGCGTTACTCTATTTTGAATAGGCGAGTAGTACTTCGGGAGAAGACCATGAGAGCAATTATCGATTAATTAGCAACCATGAGTGAATTGTATGAGAGGGAGAGTTAACAAGAATACAATAGGATTGGTGAATCGATCACAACCTTGGAATATTTGTCTCCATTGAATACATAACAATCATTTTACTCCTTGTGAATTTAGTCATTACTTAGAATTATAACTTAGTATAATCACATTCTTGAACTTGATTTTGGCTTGACTTAATAACAATCTTGGTGATTTTAGTGGGTAGTTGATACAAGTCTCTGTGGGTTCTACACTTGACTTATTATTTTATTACTTGTACGATCACGTATACTTGCGTATGCATTTGGGAGCAACAAGTTTTTGGCGTTGTTGTCGGGGACTTGAATATTAACTACTTTCTAGTTTTTGCTTTAATTGTTTATTTTGTCGAGTTTAACGTTACTTGATTGTTGCTCGGATCTCGGGAACTTTGATTAAATGCGTATGGTCAGAAGCCAGGACCGACTTCAAGGCTTTGATCCTGAACCTGAGAGAACATTTCACAGGAGGTTGAGGGAAGCAAGGGACACGAATAATATTCAGGCACTTGTTCAATTTCCTGGGAACATGGCAGAGGAGCAACACATGGCTGTTCAGGAGGTGGTGATGCCCCGCATTGCCAATGTCACCTCTAGCATTGTGAAGCCCAGAATCACTGAGCACTTTGAGCTGAAACAAAGCATGATCTAGCTACTTCATGCAAATGGCAGTTTATGGGTCTTCCACACGAGGATCCACAACAGCATATCCTAAACTTCTTGGAGATTAGTGTCACTTATATCACTAATGGAGTCACTCCAGACTATGTGAGGCTCACACTTTTTCCATTCTCACTGTTGGGCGAAGCAAAGCGATGGCTGAAGGCAGAACTAGTTAATTCTATTACCTCATGGAATGATTTGGGAAGGAAATTTCTGGCAAGGTTCTTCCTTTCAAGCAAAACTGCAAAAATCAGAAGTGAGATAGTTTCCTTCAAACAAAAAGTGGGAGAGTCTTTATACTCAGCTTGAAAGAGGTTCAAGGGGCTAATCACAGACTGTCCTCATCACAATCAGACAAGAGAAGTATTAGCTCACACTTTCATAGAATACATCCTGAAACAAAGATTGTGGTAGATGCTATAGCTGGAGGTCAAGGGTTGGAGAAAAACTTTGACGAGATATATGCATTATTGAACAAATTCTCCAAAAGCAATCCGGATTGGCAAGGAGAGATGGGTAGACACACAGTGCAAAAGTCTGTAGGAGTTCTTGAGTTAGATGTCATCTGAGCATTATCAGCGCAGATTTATACACTAACCAACCAAGTCAATCAGATGACCTTGATTATTAACAAGCAACAAGCACAACCAGTACAATAGGTTCATGTGTTTTGTGAAATATGTGGAGAGGGTCACACGAGCGACGTGTGCCCCGCTAATCCAGAGTCTGTTTACTTTATGGGTAATGCAAATAGGGTCCAAACAAACCAATATGGGAACACTTACAATCCCAACTAGAGGAACCACCCAAACTTCTCTTAGGGTGGAAACCAAGGTACTCAGAATCAATACAGGCCTCAAGCACCTCAACAACAATATAGACAACCTCAAGTTGAACAACAAATGAGTCCAACAAGTCACCTTGAAGACATGTTGAAAAAAGTGATGGCTGAACAGCAAGCCCTCACTCAAAAAATTATGGTTGAGCAGCAATCCCAAGCCGCAACAAATAGAAATTTGGAACGCCAATTAGGACAACATGCTAGTGCTCAAAACACTAGACTGGCTGGAGCTCTTCCAAGTGACACTAAAGCTAATCCTAAGGCATACCTTAATGTCGTGTCGTTGAGGAATTGGAGACAATTAGAAGAAGTTCAGTCTAGAAAGGGGAAACATGTGACTTATAATGAGAGGCCAACCACGATAGAATTAACATCAGAAAAATCTAAGGAGTCAAAGAAGCAAGCTAGAGAGGCGGTGGATGAGAAACCCCCACCATCGGTTACAAGGCCACCACCTCTGTTCCCTCAAAGATTGCAAAAAGTAAAGGATAACGCTGCATATAAAAACTTCTTGATATTTTGAAGCAGGTGCAAATTAATATTTCATTGGTTGAAATCTTACAAGAAGTACCCAAATATGCAAAGTACATCAAGGACATAGTGGCGAATAAAAGGAGGCTAACCGAGTTCGAAACTGTGGCACTCACTGAGGAGTGCAGTTCTGTCACAACCCAAAAATCCCTCCGAAGGAGTCGTGATGGCACCTAATCTCTAAACTAAGTAATCCTAACATTAACTGAAATAACATTGATATTTATTAACTTCAAATGAAATTTCTCGAAATAATTTACAATTCACAAAACCGATAGTACAAGTCATAAGCTTTTCTAAGAGTAGTTATACAAAATAAATCCATCACAGTTCCGAACAAAAGGAACATATGGAAATAAGTACAATTGAAGGTGACTCCGAGGACCGCGAACGCTACATCAGGTTTACCTTGAGTCTCCACCGCAACGAACAACTACTATTGATCAAATACCTGGATCTGTACACAAAAATGTACAGATGTGTAGTATCAGCACAACCGACCATATGTGCTGGTAAGTGCCTAGCCTAACCTCGACGAAGTAGTGACGAGGCTAGGACCAGACTACCAAATAAACCTGTGCAGTATAGCGTACAAAAATAATAGGAAGCAAATAACAATGGTAGCAACAATGATCAACCAGTGATATAAATAGCAGGCGACAAGAACAAAATAAATGTTTCTCAACAAATAATAAATACAAATGCAATCAATTAATCAAGTCCTTCAAATATAAATCTTTCACCTATAAATCTTTCAAGTAATAATCTCTAAGACAATATGTTTTTCAATAAATATATTTCGAATATATTTCCTTCAAATAAATATCTTTCAAATAAGCATCTTTCGAATATACTTCTTTTGAGTAAAGGTCACCTTGTGACGCCTCATTTCATAATCATAAATAATATAGGCCTCAGCCACTTTCATATTTTCACGGCACCTCATGCCCATATTTATATCACAACCGCACGGACAACTCACGTGCCATTAAATAAAACCATAATATTTTTCCCGACACCTTGTGCCCACATATTTCTGTCTCACATTTTACAACAATATTCTCATGTTACTCAGTTCATAGGTTCCATAACCCAACACAATTAAGAATGTTCAAGGAGCTTCATTCACTTAACATAAAGTAGAGTACAACTTCCAACCCAATTAGAAAACCAACAAGAAAATATGAAGTTATTTTTTTTAGAAATCATTTGATAAAGAAAATACCCTTTTCAATTAAAGTACAATATCGAATGAATCATTACCTTTAATATGAGAAACCAATAAATCAAAACATAGTAGAAATTCCTTTTAAGTAAAGTACAACCTCAAACGGTCTAAGGAAAATTTAGTTGAGAAATCAATTGAGTTAAAAATGTAACAATTGCTGAAATTTGAAGTATTGAACATATAAAAAAAATATGGCGAGGTATTGTAAACACTATGGATTCCAACACAAAGGATCACAACAGTACATGGATCTAAACAGTTAATACACTTGAATTGTTAATAACGAGTAAACACAACAAACAGAAGGTGCACGGCATCCCTTCGTGCTTTAACACTTTCTCACCAAAATAATACACGGCATCACCCTTCGTGCTTTACACTCTCCCTCACCCAAGCAACAAACACAAGGCAAATAGGGTAAGGAAATCTATAACATCGAAATAAAATCAAGTAACAACAGAAAATCAGTAAATAAACATAAAAGGACAACATAACTCAATTAGACTCAGGAAAAATCAAGGACAAGTGCACAACATCACCCTTCATGCTTTTACTCTCGTCCTCACCATAAGAATCAATATAAACTGCAAGGCATCACCCTTCGTGCTTTTACTCTCATCCTCACCATAAAGTCAATATAATTGGCACGGAATTGTACATCGTGCGGCACAGCATCACACTTCGTGCTTCACACTCTTCCTCATAAAATCATACACGGCATCACCCTTCGTGCTTTAACACTCTTCCTCACCCAAACAACAATCACAAGAAATAAGGGCAAGGAATTAAATGAAACCGCAATAAAATCTCGGCAAGGAAAGAATAGTACAACAATCAAATCCCGGTAAGGGAAACAACATCAAAACAATAACATCCCGGCAAGGGAGACAATATCATGATTCTCTCTCTCCTTTCTTCTTTCACGTTTACTTCACAACTCAATTCACAACTTGAGTCAATGCTCTACAATGTTCAACAATTCAATTCTTAACTAGAGTCAATGCTCTACAATGTTCAACAATTCAATAATACTTCCACAAGTCATATTCCTCAATAGAAATTATCATATAGAGCATATACAATATGAAACAGAGTCACATTAATCAAAGTATAAGACTCACGGGCATGCTTGACACCAACGTATAGATACTCGTCACCATGCTTATACGTCGTACTCAACAAATAACACATAAAAAATAGGACGCAACTCCTAATCCCTCAAGCTAAGGTTAGACAAACACTTACCTCGCTTTGCAACCAATTCAAAATTCCAACAAGCCTTTGTCTCGCGAATTAGTCCGAAGCTTCAAATTTAGTCATAATAATTCAATGTACTCAATATAAATCGTACGAATTAATTCCATATGAAATTACTAATATTCCGAATAAAAATTCGAAATTTATTTTAAAATTCAACAGTGGGACCCATGTCATAAATCCCGGAAAAACTTACTAATTCCGAATACTCGTTCTGATACGAGTTCAACCATACAAAAATTATTGAATTCTGACATCGGATTGTCTTTCAAATCCTCAATTAAAGTTTTGAATATTTCTACCATTTTTAACCCAATCTTTACCTATTTGAACTCAACAATCTTCCCATAACCTTATTGTTACAAGCATGTATAACTAATACTCAAACATCCATGAATCATCTTACTAATTAACCATTTCTAGTTAGATTTCGAAATTGAAGAATTGGGGAAAATGAAATTCTTACCTCTTTGATGAAGAACTTGAGGGATTTCAAGGTTTGGACAAGATTTTGATGAACCAAAACACTTGCTTCTTTCTCTCTCTAGAAACGCTCTCCCCTCTATCTAAAACACCAGAAAATACCCAAAAATATGTACCCTAAACGAGTTAAATGAAATAGGGGTCGGGTCAGAAAAACCCATTTTTTGTACAGCCGCGCGGCGTGGGGTGCCGCGACTGTGAAAAATATGCTCAGAAAATGTTTTCTAATGCTCTCTACATTTCTCCACAGGCGCGCCGCACGGGGCACCGCGGTAGTGCAAGTTTCTGCCAGCCTTCGGGTATTTGATCATAACTTCTTGTAGGAGTGCCCAAATGAGGAACGGTTTGAAGCGTTAGAAACTAGACTTGCATATCATTAATTTTATAGGTTGTCTATCACATAATTCTTTATATATATATATATATATATNTGCCTTGTACACTTGCTATCATATCCAATTGGTATCCATCATGGTAATAGACCTCTTTCATATATAAAATAATATAATTAGAACACGTCAACTTTCTTACTTCACCAAAATGTGTCGAATTGTCTTATGGACTTCCGAATCCAAATTCGGACACACGTCTAAGTCTGAAATCACCATACAAAGCTATTGACATCATTAAAATTTCATTTTGGGATCGTTTGCTCAAAAGTCAACTCTTTGGTCAACTCTTTCCATTTGAGCTTCAAAAATAAGATTTTGTTTTTCTTTAAATTTAACTCCGAATCTTACGAAAACCAAACTCGACCAAACATGCGGGTCATGATGCATATTATAATGCTTCTCAAAGTCTTAAGCCACTGAACGGAAATGCTAATTCTTAGAACAAAAATTCGGGTCGTTACAAGTTCAAGAATTCAAGGCAAGTTACCTCAGAAATTGAAGGATCCAGGTAGTTTCACTATCCAAATCTCGATTGGTAAACATGTTGTTGGGCGAGCTTTATATGATCTTGGAGCGAGCATCAATTTGATGCCACTATCTGTGTTTAGATAGTTGGGGTTGGGTGAGCCACGCCTAAAAACAGTTAACTTACAGTTGGTTGATCGCTCCATTGCTCATCCTGAATGAGTGATTGAAGATGTTTTAGTTCAAGTGGGTTCTTTCATATTCCTTGCTGATTTCATTATCTTACATTACGAGCCTAATCAGGAAGTCATATTTATTCTGGGGCGTCCATTCTTAGCCATGTGCCGAGCTATTATTGATGTTTATAAAGGA